TGATTGACGTGTGTCATTAGCTGGTCTTTTGTGTGTAGTGTTCCCCGATCCTTGTGGCTGGGTAGAGGTCGTTGACCTTTTGCATGCTGTGTTTTTCAGAGCTGGAAGCCAAGTTTTGTTGAGTTTCAAACTTTCATCTTTTTTGTTGAAGTTCTACTGGTGCTTGTGGATTTCAGTGGCTTCCCTGTGCAATCTGACGTAATGACTGCTGGTGTTGTCCAGTATTTCATTATTTTGAAATAGAATTTCATGTCCAGTTGTTTTAGGGCATGTTCAGCTACTGCAGATTTTTCTGGTTGTTTTAGTCTGCAGTGTCTCTCATGTTCTTTAATTCTGGTGTGGATGCTTCGTTTTGTGGTTCCAATGTATACCTGGCCACAACTGCAAGGTATCCGGTATACTCCTGCAGTGGTGAGGGGGTCCCTTCTGTCCTTTGCTGACCGTAACATTTGTTGTATTTTTGTGGTGGGCTTGAATACTGTTTGTAGGTTGTGTTTTTTCAGAAGTTTCCTCATGTAGTCCGTGACCCCTTTGATGTATGGCAGAAATACTTTATTTGTGGGTGGCTGTTTTTCTTCTTCAGTTTGGTATCGTTTTCTTGGTTTGATGACTCTTGTGATTTCATTTTTGGAGTAGCCATTTGCCTGTAGGGCCCAATTCAGATGGTTGAGTTCAGTGCTGAAAAACTGAGCTTCACAGTTCCGATTCCCATGGTCTACCAGTGTTTTGATTATGCCTCTTTTTTGCTGTGGGTGGTGGTTGGAATTTTTTTGTAGGTACCGGTCTGTGTGGGTGGGTTTTCTGCAGACCTTGTGTCCCAGTCAGAGGTCAGTTTTGCGTATGACCATGACCTCTAAGAACGGGAGTTGGCCCTCTATTTCTTTTTCCATGGTGAATTGGATATTTGGATGGATGCTGTTGAGATGGTTCAGAAATTCTTCCAGGCAGGCATTTTATCATTAGATATATTCAAGGCATTTGATTGCATGGAATGGCCAACATTAAAGATTTTGTTAAAGGGTCGGGGTTTTGGAAAGAAATTTAGGGGGATAATAGATCAATTATATTTAGAGAATACCTCTGTAGTAATAGTTAATGACAGGATGACAGAACGAATAGCTCTGGGCCGAGGCACTAGACATGGTTGCCCTCTTTCTCCAGTTCTGTTTTGCTTGATTATTGAAATGTTGGCAATTGTAATAAGGAATGTTGATTTAATTGAAGGTATGGGAGAAAAGAAGAAAATAAAGATTAATTTATTCCCTGATGATTCCTTACTGACAGTGAAAAATCCATTAGAATGCATAGACAAAATTAGAATTCATTTAGAAAAATTTGGAAAAAATAACTGGATTATGTATAAATTGGCAAAAATCC